ACGACACAACTCGACGGCCCGTGTGACATCATGCACCTCCTGCGAACAGCAGAGGCGCTTCCCCTCACCCTCCACGCCCACAGGTAGGGTCGTGTGCGTGCGTGCGTGCGTGCGTGCGTGCGCGCGTGTGTGTGTGTTGTGTTGATGAGCGTGTTGTTGTGAGCGTGCGAGTTTGCTGTGCTTGTGTTATTGTCCTGACGTCCACACCACCCTCATTTCATGGCCAACTTCTTCGACGCAATCCATGATCTCCTTCACCCTCTCTTCTTGCTCACCCCACCTCCTCTCGTTCATCTGCAACAGAGACAAGCGGCTTCAGATTATGCGCGCGTCCTCGGGCAAGTACCTGAGCCGCACCCCTGACATGCTGCTCCGCCTGACCATGGCATACCTGCTTGGCCTGCACCACGTCAACCTCACGCTGCTGTGGGCCGACGCGAAGAAGGCGCTTGGCGAGTTTGCCCGCTACCGCCCGCTCGTGCTGTGGACGCTCTTTGAGGACAAGTTCATGCGCGTGCTTGACGCGAGCGTGGAGATGGGCGAGATCATGACGGAGCAGGCGCGCACCATTGGCCAGCAGCAGGTGACAGACTCGGCACACCGCATCGTCGACGACCGCTTGGACGTGCTGTCGTTCCGGTGTCTGGTGCACCCGCTGGAGCATCGCATCAACCTTCTGCAGAAGCCGGACTGGGACAACAACATGACACAGGTTGCAGACCGGTTTGTCAACGCCGTGTGCCCGCAACCGCGCGTTGATGTGCTCAAGCTCATGCAAACCTTTGCCGAGCTCGCCAACACCTGGCCCCTCCTCACCGAGCAAAAGCACAGGTGCGTTGGTATGCTTGTTGTATGAACGTGTGTGCGTGTGCGCGTGTGTTTGTGAGATCGCCTGTGCAAGCCACCCTGCCTGCGAGACTGGTGCATTTGGTTTGATGTGTACCTGGAGTTCAGTGCCATTGCTGCTCAACAGAGGGCTGCGCTTGAACGTTGTTGTATTGTATCCCCATTTCCCATCTTCGCTCGTCTTCATGCTCATGGCCATCCGTCCGTCTTCCTCAACAGGACGCTGGTTGAGAAGTTCCTCCAGCTGCACGACGACTACCTGGTGGTCGAAGAGGGAGCAGGAAAACTGCAGGACATTTCCGTCGCAAACGCCGGCCTCGCGGGTGCGTTCACGCGCTGCTGTCGTGTCTTTACTTTGCTCTAACATGCATGTGACCTTGTTTCCACCCTGCTGTGGCGATTGCAGCGTGGTTATGTGACACCTGTTGTTTGCACGGGTTGCTGTGCCGACCCCAGCGCTTGTGCTCAATACTTACCGTCGAATCCTCGCTTCACAATCTGCATGTTGTCGTGCGTGCCTGCAGGCATTTCGATGCAGTCGCTCGGCATTGAGGATCTTGGCGGCGACCTCGACAATCTCAGTGACGATGAGAGCGTCAGCAATGACGACGACGACGACGACAATGATGAACGGCGCAGGAAGCGCAGCGCGATGCAGCACGACGGCCGTGGTGGTCGTGGTGGTCGTGGTGGTCGTGGCGGTCGTGGTGGTCGTGGTGGTCGTGGTGGTCGTGGTCGTGGTCGTGGTGGTCGTGGTGGTCGTGGCGGTCGTGGTGGTCGTGGTGGTCGTGGTGGTCGAGGACGTGGTGGTCGTGATAGCAAGCGCCCCAAGCGGGAGAATGACACCTTTAACGACAAAGTTGACGACGATGACACGAAGCGCGATGGTACCGACGCCACCAACGATGGCGACGATGCTATGCAGGCGTATGACCCAACGGCGGCTGCGCGTCGCCGCGTGTTCTGGCGGCGGCGGCAGATGGTGCGCATGGTGCGCAAGCGTCGAAAGGTCGCGCTGAGCCAGATGGAGGCCATGCTCTCTGTGCTCGCCAGCTTCAACAACGGAAAGGCGCTGATGGAGTGGGAGCGCCTGCAGGCGATTGTGCACAACTTCCTGCACCATTCTGACGCGAACATCCGCGCCAACGCCCTCAAGGCGAGCGCTTCGTTCAGCCGCGTGGTGCGCAAGTACCTGGAGCCCATGATGGCCGTCAACACGGAGATGGGGCCCCAGCTCACAGAGCGCTTGAAGACATTCAACGTCGCCTCCCCAGCCGGTATGTGTGTGTGTGTGTGTGTGTGTGTGTGTGTGTGTGTGTGTGTGTGTGTGTGTGTGTGTGTGTGTGTGTGTGTGTGTGTGTGAACCTTGCAGCATTTTTTTCGTGATTCCGTTCACACTCGCTGTACAGCACTTACCCCCATACGATTCACCGCCACCCCTTTCTACACGTGTGCAGTCGTAGCACCGGAGCATGTTGAAGAGGTGACGACCGTGTTCTTCCGGCTGCTGCAGGCCAAGATGTTTGCGCGCAAGGGCAAGTCCCAGAAGTACTCGCCCAAGTTCCAGCGCGCCCTCATTCTCCGCTACTTGGCCGACTGCCGCACAGAGGGCGGTGAGGGCTTTGTGCTCGATGCGTTCCTGCATCTGCTCGTGCTGCCGTTTGCACAGTCGCCAACGCCACCCGTCTCCGTTGCGCCGGGCGCCGCTGTGGATGTGGACGCGCTGCTGGCGGAGTTCAACGTCGGCACAGACGTGCACGCAGCCGTTCCGCTCAACCGCCAAGTCGGTGCGTATCTTAAGCTGCTCGTGGTTGTGGTGGTGTGTTGTGTTTGTGTGAATGCGTGTGTGTGCACGTGTGTGTTTGTGTGAACGTGTGTGTGTGTGTGGGGGGACGCGTGTATGCACTTGCATGCTTGTGCGTCCGCACTCGTCACAGGTGTTTGTGCCGTGAATTGTGTTGTCGTGCGACCATTCCTTAACCCTATGTTGCCCGTTGCCCTGATCTTCCCTTTCCACCACACTTCTCAACACCCCCCCCCACCCGTCACAGGTTTCCTGATGCTTGCCGAGTCGCTGCTGAAGGTGTTTGGCACGCGTCTGCAGCCGCACCTGCCGATGATGGTGGCCATCATGGTGCAGATGGCGCGCGAGGCCCACGCCCTGCTCGCCCGTCGTGACGAGGTCGCCCCGCGCTACATCCGTGAACTCAGGATGATCCGCAAGCTCAGCATCCGCCGCCTCTGCAGCCTCTACAACTTCTTCAACGCGGTGCGTGGCGTGTGTGTGTGTGTATGTGTATGTGTGTGTGTGTGTGTGTGTGTAATTTAGGAGGGTGCACCGGAATTGGAGGCATGCACGTGCGTCAATCAACCACACACGTGCATGCGGATCATGTGTTCATCCGTCATTGCGCCTGCTCTGTCCTCCTTCCTACCGTGCACGTGTGCAGAAATTGCTGGAGCCGTTTGCGAGCGCGGTGCACGCGCACGTGATTGGGCCGCAGGTGGCGTCGCTGTATCACGAATGCTCAAACGCCGTCGTCCCCATCCTCCAACTCCTCATGTGAGCACACACCGCTGGGTGTTGACGAGGGCTACGCGGCTGGAGTTGTCATTGGGGGTGTTGTTTCGGCCTTGTTTGTTGTGTGTGTTTTGATTCGCCTCCCTCCATCTTTGCCTCACGCAACGTGGCAACATGCCCAAACATCCATGAATGCACAACCGTTCTTCCCTGCTCACTCCTGCTTGTGATCCCTCTCAATACTCCTGTCCATCTGCAGCACGTGGAGCGAGGATCCGAACATGCACCGCCTGTTCAACATCAGCGGCAGCGCCGTCCTCTCGCGCGTGTTTGAGGTCTTGTCACACCCGCGCATCGCCTTCCCCGTTGAGCGTGAGGTCATTGGCATGGCAGACAACCTCCTCCCAGGCACAGCAGGGTGCGTCTGATGTGATTGTGTGCGTGTGTGTGTTTGTGTGTGCATGTGTGTGTTTGTGTGATTGTGTGCGTGTGTGCGTATGTGTGTGTGCGTATGTGTGTGTGCGTGTGTGTGCGTATGTGTGTGCGTGCGTATGTGTGTGTGCGTGTGTGTGTGTTTGTGTGTGCGTGTGCGTGTGTGTGTTTGTGTGTGTGCGTATGTGTGTGTGCGTATGTGTGTGTGTGCATGCCTGAATTGCTGAACATCACAACTGTAGGTGCGTGTCTCTGTCCTCTATTTTCGCTCCCGCTAACGGCTTTCCTTGTTTGGTTCTCTTTCTGACCACCGCACCGCGTTCAGTCGAATGTCCAAGGTTTCGGAAGAGGACAAAGACAGTTCTGTCATGGAGCCGCACATTCCAAAACTCGTCTCCTCCCTCTACGCTCTCATGATCCGCCAAGGTGCAGTTGCTGGTGTTCTCTTGCGCGTGGGGCACATGCGGTCATGCGATCACGCGTGTGCCTGTACGTTTGCGCGCGTGTGCGTGGGAGCATGCGCGTCTCTTTCAACTGTAGATTGCACTGCACTTGGCAACACCATTCCATCTCCCATCATCACCTGTACTCACGCGTCATCACCTCTCTACCCAATCTTGAACCAACTCCCGTGCAGCCGCCGAGGCCAGGGACCGCAACAGCATTGCCCGCTTCTCGTGGGTGAAGCTCTCTGTTCTCGCGCGTATCGCTCCGTTCGCAACGGAGGAAAAGGACGCAAAGGTACGCGCGCGTGAGTGAGTGTGTGTGTGTGTGTGCTTGATGCGTGTGCATGTGTGCGTGTGCGTGTGTGTGTGCGTGTACATGCGTATGTGTTCTTGTACACGTGATTGTTTCTGCTTGCAGCCGGACAGATTTGCTGTCCACCTTCACCATTCTCCTCCCTCTTCTTTTCTTTTCCACTCACGCCCCCACTTTCCGCCACAACACCCTGTCTTCATCTCCTGTAGCTGCTGGCGCAACTGCTGGTGCCGTATCTCGAGGTGCACACGCGTCGCGTCTCCGAGAACAGGAAAGCGCTCATCCTCAGCGTCCTCGCCGATTCCTTCCGCAAATTTGGCGACTCCCTGCAGGTGCACACACTGACCTACACTCGTGTGTGGGGCGGAGGGTCAAGGGTCCTGCCGCGATGTTGCTGTATGGTCGTGACGCTTGTTTTGTTTCTGCTGCGGTTGTTGTTGTTGGTGATGCACCGTAGCCGAGATGGCTGTGTGTGTGTGTGTCAGTGAGTGTGTGTGTGAGTGAGCGTGTGTAAGTGTGTGTGTGAGTGAGTGTGTGTGTGTGTGCTCTGTTGTTCGTCGATATTTTTCTTCATTGCGTCTTTTCATTACGTCTCACCACCTATCAACGGCTGTGTGCTGGTTGTGCAGTATGCTGGGGTCATGTGCACCCTGTTTGGCTGGCTGGCAACAGACAATGCGCGCCTGGCGCTGTGCAAGACAGTTGATGCAATGGCCAATGCCGACGCCACCGAACTCAAACCCATCGTGGACATCCTCTACGACCTCAACGCCACAGCAAAGTACGATGCAGTGCTTGTGCGCAAGTGCTCGTACGTGTGCGCAGCTGCTTGCGTTAACTCGTGTGCTTGTGCACATGCGTACCTTGGCTGCGAGTGAGGGTGCCCAATTTTGCTTGGTTTGATTGGTTGCCTGCTGTACTGTTGGTTATTGTGCTGTTGCCTGCAGGGGCAAGCTGGGCGTGTCGTTTGACTTTGTCAAGCGGTTGTCTGCGCTTGAGCGGGTGCGGAACGCCGTGGACGAGTTCACGCGTCTTCAGCTGGAGGCGCTCATTGAGGCCGTCACCAACCTCATCTTCCTCGAAGACTTCTCCCTCAGAACGTGCGTTTGTGTGTGTGTGTGTGCGTGCGTGTGTGTGTGTGTGAGTGTGTGTCTGTTTGTGTGTCTGTTTGTGTGTCTGTTTGTGTGTGTATGTGTGTGTGTCTGTGCGTGCGTGCGTGTTGATAGGTCACGTCATCGGATGTGAGTAGCTCACCTGTCTCTGTTACACATTGCAGGGGTGCTGTGGAGACGATCATGGTGATGATCAACTCCATCATGGGCCGCGACAACAGGCGCTCTTTGCTCCACGTCATCGTGAAGAAGCGGTGCGTACAACTGCCACATTGTGCTCCCATGCTGTGCTGTTTCACCTTCACACACACACACACATACACACAGACACACACACAGACAGACACACACACACACACACACACACACACACAGACGCACACGCACACATACACACAGACACAGACACAGACACAGACACACACACACACACAGACACACACACGCACACATACACACAGACACAGACACAGACACAGACACACACACACACACAGACACATACACAGACACACAGACACACACGCACACACACACAGACACAGACACACACATACACACAGACACACACACGCACGCACACACACGCACGCACACACACGCACACGCATGTGCACTCACCTCATGACCGCCTTCCTATCGTATGGGTGACCAGGCTGCTTCTCGTCTTGAAGCGGGCGATCCGGTCCGATCTCGACATGACGCGGGCGGCGGCGCTGGAGCTCTTGCAGTTCATCACCGCCAACGTCAGTGGTGACGGCATCCTGGCAGACATGGTGCCGCTGCTGCCCCACAAGGGCGAGGACGAGACCAAGTGCTTCTTCCGCGGAATGCGAAGCGTGAAGCAGATTGAGCGGTCGCGAGCACTCCTGCGCATCGCCCGCACCATTGGCATGAAGCGCGTGCAGCACAAGCAGCAGGAGGATGACAACGACGTTGATGGCAGTGGCGACGCAGACGTCTCTCGTCCATGCACGCTCCGGTTTTCACACAGGTATAGCCGGTGACACAACTTGTTCGGGCATGCATGTGTATTTGAATACGCCTGTGTATGGTGTGCATATGTGTCGTGTGTGTTCATGTGTGCGTGAATGTGTGTGTGCGTGCGTGCGTGCGTGAATGTGTGCGTATGTGTGCGTGCACGTGTGTGCGTGTACGCGTGTGTGTACGGCATTTTGGTCTGTGGTGCTGGTCCATGTCGATCTGTGTGTTGTATTGACGTGCCCTGCGAATCCGCCACCCTCACCGCGTGACTGCGGCTTTACTTGCCTGCCCACAGGTTTACACAGGACACCATCACGGGGTTCCTGCTGCCGCTGGCGCTGCGCGCAATTGCAGACGGCGGCGATGACGCCGACGCCTCGTTTGTCGACGTCGCAATCGATGCCATCGGTGCGTCGATGTGTGTGTGTGTGTGCCGTTGTGGACGTGAATATGTTTGTCTTCACCCCAAGCATGGCGTTGACTGCGTACACATGCAGCCCCGACTAATGCCTCATGTTCATTGTCACATTCTCCATCTTCTCACTAAATCGTACGACACCTCTCAACACCGACAGGCGCGCTGGCTGGTCAGATGCACTGGCCGCTGTATCTGCAGACGCTGCGACGGCACCTGTCGACGGTGCGGCGGCAGCGCGTGGTGGAGAAGAGGATGGTGCGGGCTGTGGTGGCCGTGCTGGACAGCTTCCACTTTGACACCAAGGCAGAGGTTGTGGCAGCAGAGGAGGAAGGGAAAGACACGCACAAGAAGAAGAAGGGACAGGAAGTACAAGTGAAGGTTGTCAAGGATGAGGAGGACGATGATGATGATGATGATGAGGAGGAGGG